AAAGTCTTTCTTGACTTGACATCCTGCCTTACTTAGTAACCTTATCCTTAAAATAGAGAGTTTGGACTTAGATCTCTAAGATCCCTCTGGCTCTGATTCCATAAAAATGTATTTACCAGTGAGAGATGTCTATTTAACAAAAAGAATCTCTAGGTATTAAACAACCCTTCCCTTTTGCTAAATAAGATTTCTGGAAGTAAAATGAATTCACTTGGTGGACAGGCTGAATTTCTTAAAATTTTTAAATAGTATATGCTATTACAATTGTACCAAGTTTCCCCTCCTTGCTCCCCTCCCCCCAGCCACCCACTTCCCACAGTCAATCCCAACACTGTTGTTCATGCCCATGGGTCATTCATACATGTTCTTTGTTTACTCCGTTCCCCTTCTTTCAGTTAGTCCCAATCTCCCCTCTCCCCTCTTACAGCTCCCAGTCTGTTCCTTGTTTCTGTGCTTCTGGTTCTCTTTTTTTTATTAGTTTATTTTTTCCCTTTTAAAATATATTTTATTGATTATGCTATTACAGTTGTCCTGTTTTTTTCTCCTCTTTATTCTCCTCTGCCCTGCATACCCCCTCCCACCCACATTCCACCCCGCTTTGTTCATGTCTATGGATCGTACATATAATTTTTTCACTTCTCCATTTCCTACACTATATTTTTAACCTCCCCCTGTCTATTTTGTACCTACTATTTATGATACTTATTCCCTGTACCTTTTCCCCCATTCCCCCTCCCTGCTGATAATGCTCCATGTGATCTCCATTTCTGTGATTCTGTTTCTGTTCTACTTGTTTGCTTAGTTTTTGTTTTTCTTTTAGGTTCAGTTTTTCATAATTGTGAGTTTGCTGTTATTTCACTGTTCATATTTTTGATCATCTTCTTTTTCTTAGGTAAGTCCCTTTAACATTTCATATAATAAGGGCTCAGTGATCATGAACCCCTTTAACTTGACCTTATCTGGGAAGCACTTTATCTGCCCTTCCATTCTAAAGGATAGCTTTTCTGGATAGAGTCATCTTGGATGGAGGTCCTTGCCTTTCATGATTTTGAATACTTCCTTCAAAGTATTCCTTGCCTGTAAGGTTTCTTTGGAGAACTCAGCTGATAGTCTTATGGGAACTCCTTTGTAGGCAACTGTCTCCTTTTCTCTTGCTGCTTTTAAGGTCCTCTCCTTATCTTTCATCTTGGGTAATGTAATTATGATGTGTCTTGGTGTGTGCTTCCTTGGGTCCAGCTTCTTTGGGACTCTTTGAACTTCCTGAATTACCTGGAAGTCTATTTCTTTTGCCAGATTGGGAAAGCTTTTCTTCATTATGTTTTCAAATAAATTTTCAATTTCTTGCTGTTCCTCTTTTTCTGGAACCCGTATGATTTGGTTGTTGGAATGTTTAAAGTTGTCCCAGAGGTTCTGAAGCCTCTCCTCATTTTTTGGAATTCTTGTTTCTTCATTCTGTTCTGATTGAATGTTTATTTCTCCCTTCTGCTCCAAATGATTGATTTGAGTCCCGATTTCCTTTTCATCACTGTTGGTTCCCTGTATATTTTGCTTTGTCTCACTTTGCATATCCTTCCCTTCTTCCTCTATTTTGTGACAATACTCAACCATTTCTGTGAGCATCCTGATTACCAGTGTTTTCAACTCTGCATTTGATAGGTTGGCTATCTTTTCATTGCTTAGTTCTATTTTTGGAGCTTTGATCTGTTCTTTCATTTGGGCCATATTTCTTTGTCTGTGCGTGGCCTATTACATAGTAAGGGGCAGAGCCTGAGGTATTTGCCAAGGCAGGGCAACCCACTTCGCTGCTGTATGTGGGGGAGGGGTCAGAGTGGGAACAATGCCACTTGCTCGGCTCTCTGCTGGCTTTCAGTCACTTCCCCCACTATCCACAAGCAAATTGGGCCCAGGTGGATGGATTTGTGTCCGTTCTAGGACCCTGTGGGTCTCTCCAACAAACTCTCCTGTGAGGCTGGGAGTTTCTCTTGCTGCCACAACCCCCACAGATTTTTGCAGCCAGCGGTTTTGAGGCTTTATTTCCCCGTCCTGGAACCCTGGGTTGCATGGCCTGTCTGCTTCCCAGTTGTTCCTCCTGGTTTATTCACATGCAAATGTGGGACCACCAGCTACTGCCTTGCTATGCATCCTCCCCTCCCAAGCTGTCCATCTGCACCCCTCCTACTGGTCTGGATGAATGTTTCTTCAACTCCTTGGTTGTCAGACTTCCATACAGTTTGATTTTCTGTGAGTTCTGGTTTTTGTTTTTAAATTAGTTGTTGTCCTTCTTTTGGTTGTGCGAGGAGGCAAAGTGTATCTACCTACCCCTCCATCTTGGCTGAAAGTGGCCCATATCTTGTATGGTATTGTACCAGTACTGATATAACAAAGCAAAACAACACAGAAAAAAACCCACACAAGAAAAAACACCCATAACAAAGTAGCAAAATCAATGGTAAAAGAGCAAAAAGTAATAAAAATTGAGAAATAGAATATTATAAGAAAGAAAAGAATATGAGAAGACCAAAGGAAAGATAAATGATTATGAGAAGATAAAGAGAGGAGAAACAATAAGAGTAAGGAAAAGAAACAAGTAATCACCACACACACAAAAAAAACAAAGACAGGGAAAAAAAGAAAATTTTTTATAAATAAGAAAAGGAAGGAAGAAGGCAAAATGGAGTAACAAAAGAGTAGAATACAAGATTTGAAAGTACAAAGTAGAGAAAAATAGGAATAAAACTGAAGAAAAAATGATATAAAGATACACAAAAGAAAGGTAATGAAAAAGAATGAAGTGGAATTTGTCCCAGCATAGCATAGTGCTTGCCTGCTGGGTTCTCCCTCTGGGTACAGCTCTGAGGTCTAGAGTTGGTGCAACCCAATGTCAAATGCTGCCTGGTAGCTCTAGGCAGCCTATTCAAAGCTATAAGAGATCCACAGTTTGTGGCTGCCTCCTTCAGGCTTGGCTGCATCTGGGATGGGCCTTGCTGCTCTGTAAGTTTGACTTTTTATCAGCACTGGGCCCAGGGATTGGCAACTAACAACTGAAAGCACTGCTGGAACCACCTCCACCTGCTTCTGTCTTCAGTCTGCTGTTAGTCTTAGTCTAGCCACTGACCCATCTGTTTCTGAGAAGGCTTCTGGTAGAATCTGAAGGATGGGACCCCTGGATCTCCTATGAGAGGTGCCTTTCAGACTTCACAGGAGATAGTGAGTATGTTCACAGTCTGAGTTTGTCCCAGATTATTTCTGTGAACTTGGCAGGGCAAAGCCCCTAGTAGGGTAGTGGATGGGGCCTCCGGATCCCAGACTTTGGGTGTTCCTCTCTGGCGAGGAGCAAGTGCCAGCCTGGTTCCAGGGAAAGTATATGGAATGGCTGTGCCCTAGAGCCTGTCTCTATCACCCATAAATCCACCTGTGTTGCTGTTTCCTCAGCAAGGGATAAGATGCAGGTTGGGGTAAATTAAGAAAGAAATAAAACTTTAAAAATAAAAAAATAAATGTAAAAAAAAAAAAGGATGCTGGTGGGACAGGAAGGATTCCAGTGGGTATAGTGGGACCTCCGGTCAAGATGGCAGCATAGGCAGACATAGCTTGCCTCTTCACACAACCGCATCAAAATTATAATGGGTGTGGCAAGTAAGATTCCGGAGGACGGAGCTAGGAGCCTTCTCAATGCTGGAGCAAGTGGTTTCCCACAGGGTAGAGTAATTATTTTTCCCCTGGGAGGAGATTGCTCTTCTCAAGAAAAAGACTGCTGGAGTAAGGTGTTATATCCTGGCATGGGGAACCCAGCAGCCATTCCCTCATACCTCTCCCCGAAGCTTGCCACTCCAGACTCTCCTCGACTGACTCCAGACTGTGCTGCCCTCCCTTTGCCTGAGCCCAAGGTGAATGGCTCAGAATGTAAAAACTGGTGAGTTTGCCCTTTAGAACAAAAGAATGGAAAAAAAGAAAAAAGTGGCTATCTCCAGCAAGTTCTGTCTTTGTCTGGGGGGTAAAACAAAACAAAAAGAAAACATGGCTTTTCACCACTGGATGCTGTCTAGGGGGGTGATCCCAACACGGGTGCTCTGTGCTTGGGAGCCCAGGGTGAGGTCCAGGCTTCACTCCTCACTGGGGAAAGCTCCCACAGCTGTGCCGCTTGGCCCGCATCCATGAAAGTGGTCCTGCGCCCTTTCACATCCCTGCCCTTTCTACTGGTGGTTTCTTCCCCTCCTTGGTTTAAGTATCTCCTCTTCAGGTAGTCATCAGTTGTTTATTTCGGGTGGATGTTCTCCTCTTTATTTTCAGCTTGGTTCTGGGAGGCTGTGCCAGATAAAGTCTCCTACTCCACCGCCATCTTGCCACTATTTGCTGAATTTCAATTTATTTTCAAAATATAAAATAAGCCACTAGGAGGCAGTGTTGACATATAGTTTTTCAAGCACATCTTCACTATAATTCCTTTAAAAGGGAATGAGAGTCATCTGTAATTGTGTTGACAATAAAATTTTTAAAAAATAAGTACAGCAAGAATGATTTGATTTTACAATGTTTTGTGTGGCAATAAAGTTCTGAAAAGCATATCAAAGGGGCAAGCATCTTATACAGTAATACAATAGTAAATCAAATAAAAATGTCTATCATCTATAAATGGAAGCATTCACATTGAATCTGATTTGAGGATTAAAAATTATACATAGCAATTTCGTAAAAAAAAAGTGTTGTTTATTCTTTTCTAATTTCACCTCAGTTATATGCAGCCTCTGAGAGCTGTGCTGCTCTGGCCCCATTCCTGTGCATTGGGGGATGAGGGATGGATTGCTAATTATCTTTGTAAGAAAATTGTGGAAATTTTTTTCCTTTTAAATACAGCCTTCTCCTTTAAAACTCTAGCATACTTGTGAAGAAAGAAAATAGTATTATTTTTTTTAATTGGTGGATAAATTGAGGTATAGAGATTCCATATAGGATTTAGCAAATCATAGAATGAAAATAAAAATCTAATACAACCAAGATAGTCTTGTTGTTCTTATGTGTTTAATAGAAGAAATTATAATTTCAAAAAAGCTGACCAATCTGAGAATGTTTCAAAAGCAACATGAACCCTTTCCTAAACCATAAAGAGTGGCTATGTTCATTCTAATGGTCTTGTACCTTCAGGCTTGACCTCTCATGAGAGAGTTGATATTATCAGGTAAAAATATATTTCTCAGTCTGGTGAACCTGGATAGAGTTTGGAGAATTTCTGGTTTCTTAAGCTACCAAAGTAGCACACACTTGTTGCTCCTCAGACTGACTTACTGGAGGCATTTAGGTGGATTCAGTTTTGAGTAGAATGGAGAAGGTCTGGATACAAGTCCCTCTCACCCCCTCCCTATTGGTTGGTATGTTTCCTCGTGGTAGAAATGGACCAGCTAATGAGAACAGCTCTGGAACTCTGAGAGCAGGACTCTGGGCTTTGGATACTTATTAACAGGTCCTATATCACTGATCTTCCAAGAATAAACTTCAAGAAGTGGGAAAGTCCCCATAGCTGAAGGGTCCCATAGCAGTGTTCTTCAAACTGTGAGCCAAAACTTATTAATGGGTCATAAAATCAATTTGAAGGATCTCAACCAGCATGTTTTATTACTAAAATAAGATGGAATACAAAATATTGGAATAGATCACACATTGTATTTCAATGGTTGTGTAGTATGTGCTTTACTGGGTCATTATGTAAAGTGCATTGCTTTCTAAGGGTCACATTCAAAGAAGCTTGGAAGTCACTTCCCTATATCACTTTATCTGTCCCTGTCTGGTTTCTGAGCCATTTGACAGTTCACGTCTAATCCTCCTTACTAGCCTGAAAACTTCTTGAAGTGGGATTAATGTCCGAATTACTTTTCCTTGGTCACAGCAATTTCTTTAATACCTTATTCATGGTGGGTGCTTAGCAAACCTGCTTAAGATTTACTTTGTACTTATTTTGCTTCTGAGGAAAATTCTAAGACATACTTTTAAAACTTTCAGGTGGTATTTGTGATCCTATTTTGTTCAGCTTGTACAGATTTTATGTGTAGGCTGGTGTTAATATGAGCACTGTTATTTTAACCATCTTTTCCTTATTTCTAAGGGCTGTGGCCCAAGCACAGAAGAATTCACAAAATTGGGTTCCACTGAGGTTACTACACAGATTTGAATTTCTGTTTTTCAAAGAGCTCTTTCAGCTGCTGCTCAGTTGTCGCTTCCTTCTGCTGCATCAGCTCCGTTGTTCCTTTGGTCACTCCCCAAGCATCGGGCTTTGACATTGAAGGGTTGTACGGCCTTCCTGATGCTATCCGAAGAGTCTCCCAGTATTCCTTCCTCGCCCTGGGTGAGCAAGACACACATTAGACTCCTCCCTGAGTGTCGATCCCTGTGTCGCTGAACTGGAATACTTCCATCTTTGCACTCTTGAGACTATGTCCAATAAAACACATTTGTTATTCTGTACTAAATCTCTTCCCCTCAGAATCTGCAGGTCTAAAATTACTTTCAACTTCTTCTTTTTAACATGTGAATAGGGGTCAAAAGTTAAGAATTAGAATAGGGACATTTTCTATCTGATGGACCCTACCTCCCCAGCCTCGCTTTCTGGCACTCCATGCATAAACCAGCTGAGCCCACGTTTACTATTCTCCCCCAAACCATATCACTTCTGCACCTCTCATTCCATGGACCCTGCCTCCTCCTCCTTTCTTTCTCCACTGTCTCCTCTAGTCCAAGCCTCATCACATCTGATATTCTATCAAAGGCTTCCTCACAGGTTCCCCTGTCTCAAAGCTGTTAAACCTTGCTAACTTGCAAATCTTGTCCTGGACCACCTGTGACCCTCCAGGCTCATCATTGCTTTGGGGATGAGTTCACACTCAGCTAGTGAGCATAAATAAAAGGTTGCCTCCTCTTCTTGGCTTGTGTCTTCTATCAAATTCTGTCCCTGATATTCTTAAGATTCTAGTTTCTCAATATGCCATTCCCCACAGGAATGTAAACTTTGAGGGCAAAGACCTTTTCTATCTTATTCACCACTCTCTTCCCAACTCCAGGAATTGTCCTTGGCACAGAACAGGCACTTAATTAATATTTGTTATACTTAAGTATAATTTAAGTTATACTTAAATCTTAAACAATGAGTTCATTCAATGTTAGTGTCCACCACATGGATGGTGCTTTTTTTAGAGCATGAAATTGTATTTTATTGCAACTTATGTTATTTACATTGTATATTCCTAAAGCCTTCTCTAGAAATCACTCCATAAGGTTGTTTTACAAATATCTCTGTGAGAGAATTTAAGGACAATGGACTCTTTCCCATTACACAGCAAGTTAGCTGCAGTCTTTATAATGACCTCACTTGGGCATATTCATAATCTACACAAGTTTGGTTTGGCAAATAGAGTTTGAAGGTGCCTACCTGGCTCTAATCCACGGTTTGGTGTGCATGTCCAATCCACTTCCCCAGCTGCCATGCTTTTCTGAGGCCGGCGGCAAAAAGCCCCTTTCTGGGGCTAGCTCCTCTGCAATCGCCCTGATGTGGTAGGGCTCGAATCCACAGCACCCGCCTATGTACCTGACCCCCAGGTTGTAGGCCTCTCTGGCATATTTCTGAATATCCCACCTGGTTGCAACTCTGGGCTCCAGTCCTGCAACAAATCGCATTATGCTCAACTTCTTTTAAAAAAAAATATTTAAAGTGGAAAAAAATATTTAAAGAGGGCAACTATAATTAAGTACATATCTTGAATAAGTGAGTTAAATAATTTGTCAATATTTAATTTCTTAACTTCTCAAAGCTGTTAGCTACTTTGTGTCTGTGTATCCAGTTTCAACTGTTGTGATAGCCGGCCTTTCAGATGAACCCTGCCCTCTGACATTCTCATCCTTGTGTAGCCCTCTCCTGCATTATATCAGGTTGGTTTGCGAGACCAACATAATATGGCAGAAGGGATGGTCCCTAAAGGAAACGGGGTAAGGTATGAAGACCTTAGAATGAGATAGGAGGCTGGCCATGCTCCAGCCCCACCAATATCTCTGGGCTTGATTTTTAAGGGAGACTCACCCCCATTTCCAAAACATGCTACAGGACTTTCCTCTCTGCCTAGACTGCAGGCATGCCCTCACTTCATCTGCCTGGTCTCTTCATTCAAATTTGCCATACACTAGCCCAGTGATGGTATCTTCTCTCCACCCTCAAACCCTGGAGTGTCTGAGCAACATTAAAAATAAGGGAAAATTATGTTGGAGGTAACTGATTCTAACCATCTTACTTTTTTGAGAAAATTAAGACCTGGAGGAGCTAGGGAATTCTACAAAGGTTATACAACTCAGCAACAAGGCTGGAACCAGAACAAAAATCTTTGCTGATCCCGCCCATGAGGGCATTCTTTTTACCAACCGACACACATGGCTAGCTGGTTGTCTAACTAGGTGTTGCTTCAACTTTGATTTTACATTTAAGTTCAGAGGTCTTTTTTGCTTGCTGGTCCCTTCTTTTCCTTCTATGACTGTCTAATATCAAGGGATTTGTGGCTGCAGGGAGAATATCTGAGCCTAAAGAGACAGGAAGACGTTTGTTTACTGTGATAAACCTCTTGGGCAATAGATTTATCAGGAATTTGTCAAACATAAAGACATTGAGGCAGTATATACAATAGAATGTCTGTCTTACCGAAGGGGAATTCCGGCAGATCGATAAACCCCTGTTTGCCGCAGTCGGGAGTGTGGTAGGCCAAGGGCTGGCTCATCAGGTGGGCTTTCAGCCCAGCGGCCTGCAGGCCTTCTTTCATGAGCTTCACTGTTTGCAGACTGATTGTGGGGTCAAAGTGGCAGTTCACACCAATGATGGAAGCTCCTGCAAGTGAGGAGAACATTTTAGCTTTAGGGATTTACGAGAATACTAGGAGGCCTGACCCTCCTTTCTTAATTGGGGAGCTTTTATTTGGAACAGTGCATTTGGAAGTATATCATTTGACCCTTACTCCCTGGAAATGTATCTTACCTTTGAGCAAGAGTGATTGCTAACAAGCAGCACGTACTCTCTGTGGCAAGTACTTTGAAGAGCCTGGTATAATTGAAGTGTCATCTATGCACACTTGGCTGTCCATCTTTTTTCAAAGAAATCATTATTAGAGTTTTTTTAAGCTTCAAATTTTAGTAGTCAAATTTTCAATTTCTGACATTATATTGCAAGCACAATAATTATTTAGCACTTCCAGCTGCTAGCTCGCACCCCTGGTTGCCATACCACTCATTCGAGGAATAAATCAATGTTCCCTTTTATCAGGCCAATTTAATAGTGTCACTACACCCAGATTCCAGGAGCAGCATTGCTGACTCCACAAGCTGTGGCAGCCAGTGTTCAGTGGCAGGAGTCTCAGTGGTCCTCACTGGGCTGGGTCTGCAGTTTGCTCCTCATTCTTCTTCTAATCAGGCCTCCCTCCTGGTTATTCCTCTGAATTAGCTTTTGTAAGGGCACCTGAGACCTAAGTCTTGCCAAATCCAGTAATTGCTTCCTGTTCTCATTTTGCTCTACCTCTCAGCAGTGATTAGCCTGTTGGACTCCTTCCTCCCTCATCAAAACTCCCTTCCTCTTAGCTTCTGAGAACTTCTCATACTCCCTGAGTGTTGCTACTGCCTCTCTGGAAATGTTTTGGGGGTGTTACAGGCCCACCCCTCCTCAAGCCTGAACTTTTCAATCCTGCAGTGTCCCAGGATCCCACTGAGCCATCTTCTATTCTTCCCCTATACCCTGTTTTCAATACCATCTGTATCCAGAACTCTCCTAAATGTATCTCTCTCACCTGACCTTGCCATTAGGTTCCAGTCTTGTCTATTCAACCGCTCGGATCTTGATTACCTTTCTTTCTTTTTCTTTTTTTCCTTTGCATGTTCTCTGCCAGAGTTTTTCTTTCCTTGCTTGACTTCATTACACTGAGTTAATCCTATGTTGGCTATTTATTGGATGTCCATTGGGTATAAGGGTCCTTGTGTGGGGGTGTCCAACCTGTGGCCCACGGGCCACATGCAGCCCAGGATGGCTGTGAGTGTGGCCCGACAAAAAATCATAAATTTAATGAATGTTATGAAATTGTTTTGTGATTACGTGTCACAATGTATTTAATGTGTGGCCCATGACAACTCTTCATCCAGTGTGGCTCAGAGATGCCAAAAGGTTGGATACCCCTGTTGGGGTTCTAGAGAAATATATAGTCCCTGACACCAAGGATTCCATAATTTAGCACAGGGCTTTCCAAGGTTTGCGCCATGAAAATAACGTTCTGTGATCAGTTAAGTTAGACAGTAGCTGTTTACCACATCCCCTCCTGGACACTGCCAATGTATCTGAACACATCAAAGGCTCAGACAACTTCTGTAGTAAAGAGAGCTGCTTAACTTGGTATAACACAGCATTTTCTAAATGTATTTGACAACAGAACCCTCTTAACATTGTCACAAATTTAAAAATGTTGACTGAGGATATTCCAAATGAGGGGTATAAACAGAAAGTGTTATAGTTCCTAAGAGGAAGGAGTGATCTTGGGGTAGGAGTCATTACGTAAGCATCCATGCAGGTAGAGTTTGAACTAATATTGGAAGATAGACGCATTCGATGGATATTAGATAGATTTATTAGACAGATATTTATTATGAACCTACTATGTCCTAGGCCCAGGGTACTCAATGCTGAGACAAACAGAGTCCCTGCCCCCTTAGATTTTAAAGTCTAGTGAGAGAGTCAGACATTAAAGAGATAAACAAATGAGATAAGTGGGCACTGCTACAAAGTTATAAATACAGTACAGTGATTTCAAACACTGTGCCTGCATCTACTCTGAACAGAATTGCAAAGGAAGGATGAGATGTAGGCCAAGAATCCTTGCCAGTTAACAATGGTAATGATGAAGGCCTCCTCTGGTCTTTTTTAAACAAGTGAACTTGCTTCTCCTCCCTTTTTTATATTACCAATCAACTATCCAACTTCACTTCTAAATCTAAGTAACTGTTATTGTCAATGACCAGCATAAAGTGACTTTCATGAAATATCAGGAGTCAGATGAAAATCAGGAATTAAACAAATAGCCACCTAAACTCTCTCTATCCCACAAAGCCAGCTGGACTCTTCCACTGACACTGAGCTATTCCTTGGATTTAAAATGAGGCAGCGTTGAAAACAATCTGTGATTTCCCTGACTGAAATGAAACCCAGTATTAGCAATGAAAATTACATAAAAAGATAAATCCAGTGATCAGTATTTCATATCAAAGGATTTTAAAATTTATCAAGTCAGTTATAAAAAGCAAAGCATACCAATAATTTATGAGAATGGAAAAACTTTGGCAAAGAGGGCAACTGACTTAAAAGTTGTTAATGTTTAAAGACCTCAACTTGAGATAAGTTTAAAATAAAACACGATTTTTCCAAGTGCTCCTTCTGATTTACCAAAATCCTTCCCATCTCTAGTTGTTACATCTTCAGCATAGGTCTAATGGCTCCTTTCAAAAGGCTGGTAGTGAGTGTATTGTTTTTTTTTTTCTTTTTAAACATTTTCCTTCATAGAATTCAATAATATCAATATTCCAAAAAAAAGTAAATGAATGATTTTTCTGTTAATAAAAATAGTATCTAGTGCTTCATAGATTGGAACTGCATCTGTATGTTATTTTAAAGACCCACTAATTGCAAACTGGCCAAAGTTCGCCATCACCTGCTTTCACCAGGCGCACGGCACACTGGCCGGGGCTCACGCCGTGCAGATCCCCCTCGGGGCCGATGCACATGGTCGCTGCCACTGGCTTCCCAGATGTTTTCAAGGTTTCGACTGCCCACACTGCCTCTTCAACATGTTCAAAATACTGAAATAAGGTAAGGTTAAGGTACTTTTAATCTTACTTGTCTAGAACAATTTGAAAACTTATTCTATTGCTAAATTAATTATCACTACATGTGTGACTTTCAGACTCTGAGTTTGAAATATTTTGAATATTGAGAATTTGAAATTGAAAAGCATTAGCATTTTTAAATGGATGAGAAAGGTGATTTCTTACTGTGAATTGCAGTCAAAAGGTTTGAAGAACATTGTCCTAGATTAACTGAATCAAAGTTAGTAGAAGCCCAAAATTGGAAAAAGATTTCAAAGCTAAATATTACTATTACTAGTCATGATTGGCACCTAATCTCACATGGTCGCCAGGAAAGCAAAAGGCAGAGAAAATGTGCTAGGTGTATTTCTCTCATCTTTGACTGCTTTGTTTACCTCTGCAATCAAGAAGTCCACATTCTTCTTCAGAAAGACCTCTAACTGTTGCTGAAATACTTTTTTCACTTCAGTTTCACTCTTGCAGCTGAGGTATGAAGGCGTCTGACTCACGCCTCCTGCCACCAAAGCGTCTCCCTCATCAGCCACTTGTCGGGCAATGTCACAAGCAGCTTCGTTGACTTTGTTCCCCTAAAATCGTGAGTACATAATACATCGACATTTTCATTTGACATTGAATCAAATTATTATTCAAATGTACACATCTCAGTCGTGATTTGATTCCAGAAAATGACAGTGGCAGAATAGTTCAGTGCTTTCCCAAGTTGAGCGATGTGCAGTAACAAAATACCAATAATAGTGATGAAAAAAAAAATCTAATGATGGTATCTAGGATACTACATTATACCAAAGACCTGTAAGAGGGTAAAAGCCTTTACATAAAAAGATCTGGTATCTTTCAATGCCTAAGCTGCACTTAGAAGAATTGTGGTGATAATGATAATGATTTATCTTTTTGACAAATAAAAATAAAATTCAATTAAAATGACAACAAAATTCATGACTTTTTGTCTTTCTGTATTTTCTCAATGAACAGATAAATGTATCACAGGTAAGGTCTTTTCTAATTATTTAGACATTAACAATGGACATGTCCTCAACCCCTGCGCTATAGGCCATACAGACTCGTGGGATTTTTAAGACTCCCTTTTCATTGTAGAGATGAAGAAATCGCCACCTTGTTGGGGTAGGTAAATGGCTTGCCCAACGGCATCACAGACTGTTGTAGCTGAGTCAGGAAGATTCCAGGTTCGCTGACTCCTTGTGCCTGTGACCTTTCCCATATATTGCACCACATTAAAAACTGTGAGGGTGTAAGAATTTGTAAGGATACCCACTCAGCAACTTAGGAGACTGGGAGAATCATTAATCATTAAATACCTCTTCTTTGATCTGCTTCATTAAATACCTTTCTGTCAATCTGGGGAACTCCAGATAAAAATCTAGGTACTACTCACATATATTTCATTGCTGTATTATTTAAAATAAGACAACACTGTGACGAGACTTAACATTTTCTCTGTAAGAACTTTGGTGATGACGTGTATCTATTACACCCTTCTAAGAGTGCCATGGGTAGTGTCACTCACAGATATTTTTTCTGCAACATAGTTGCCCCTGTTCTCCAGCTTGTCTTCACTTGCATAAAAGGTGAAGGTCTGCATGACGTTCGATCCAGCTCTGAGGAACTCCCGGTGCAGCTGGCGAACTGGGAGATTGAATAAGAAAGGCATTAATTGTTATCAGGTTATTAACCTGTGATGTTTCCAAAAAGCTCTAAGATAAGTAAATATGAAAATATCTGCTTAAATTCCTGGTTGTTTGGCATACATGCATCCTGGGGGCTAATGAGAGGTGGATCTGGGTCTCTTGCCAAAGGAGGGATTTCCACCATGGAGCGGGGTAAAGGAAAGCGGGAGGTCCCAGAGAGGGGGAATCGTTTCCGCATTTTTGCCAGGTAGAGGAGGTAGGGAAGGGTGTTCCCTACAGAGGGAACAGCCTGAGCAGAAACAGGAGTGGCTTTCGGGGAAAGGGCAGCTAGTCTGAGCAGCCAGAGTTGAGGACATGTTGGGGAAGTGATGGGAGATGCAGCTGGAGAGGCGGCCTGGCAGACTAAGTGTGCACGGTGTAGCACGCCATTCCAAGGAGTGTAGGCTCCAGACCATAAGTGTGGGGCCAAAACCAACAGTTTGTAAGCAACTGAGTGATGTGATTAGCTAGGTGTTTCTGAAAAATGAGTAGGGTAAGAATTGGAGCAAGATTCCCAAACATGTCCATGGATGAATGCCAAAATAGCAAAGCTTTCCCAGGTCAGAGGAAATATAATAAGAATTTTTTCCATACAACCAAATGTATTAAATTTAAAGAATTATCTATCCTCTGCTCTAAAATAGTTGTCCTAACCCCTGGTTGCCCACTAGATACCCTGCACGCTTTTAAAATTTTATGGACACTAGAATAATCCCATAGATATTCCAATTTAATTGGTTTGGGGCAGGACACAGACTTTTTTTTTAAGGTCCCCCACTGATTCTTATTTTCAGCCTTGTTGAGAACCACCGTTCTAAGAGATTGGAAACATGCTCATTTTGTAAAATGGCAGTGACGCTTAGCTGGTGTTTGTTTTGTCAGGGGAATTAACTGGGCAAAGTAAGAAATCAGCAATCCAGTATAAGCCCCTGATATTTATTTTGAAATTTCAGAGACCTGTGAAATCCAAAGGTCCGGAAGCAACTGCACTAGAAGCCAGGAAGTTATTAGGACATGGAGTTCTTAGCCCTCGGGGCTGAGGCTGGAGATGAATCTGGCATCTCTGCCTCCCAGGTGCCAAGGAGACCACAGAGAACATGGGGAGCTCAGTGTTTGTTTTCAAATGAACAAGTAAGTGAGGCAAAAAAGCTTTTGAATTTTAGAAAATGGATTTCTAACCTAGAAGCCAAATCTTTATTTTTTAAATCATAGAAACTTTAGTTCTCAGTGGGAATTTAAAAGGATGCCTAAATTACAGGGCTTCAAACTTGTTTTAATTAGCAGCAGAACCAATTAAGAACACCTATGTGGAGTTCCCATATGTATCGGTCGGATGAGCTGCTGCAGTTGGAGCAGGGGCGCAGGGCCTGCGGACCAGGGACCTGGACACCAGAGTGACACGGGTTATAAACAGGAAGTCCACCCAGAGTGTCCTTGGGTGTATTTCCAGAGGCTCTGTGAAAAAAGTTGGAAATCTGCAAATTGTGTATATGTACATTCCTTGTTCTTAAGTGATTTATTCCACCATGCTTCTTAAAACTGCAGTGCTTCTCAAAGTGTGACCTAACTTAGACTCACCTGGGGTCAGTTATTATGAATGCAAATGCTCCAAACCCTCCAGCCTCAGCAAACCCAAACTCCTTGCCGAATTCAATACTGATTCCACTGAGTGCAAGAACCACAACTTTTGGCATAAACTTCAGTAGGAGAATTAATCTAGCAATTTCCAAGTATTCTTTCAATTTCTATTTTCTGTTTTCTCTCATCTTAAGACTCCTGAGTCTTCATCCTCTAACCAATAATAGGGTATGACTGGTCTCAGTGACAAAGGCAAAACATACACTAATTAATCACATTCATGATATGGCTTTCAACTCCTTATGATATTAGTCTTATTTTAGCATCATAGAAGCTAAATGTTACACATCTCTTGACTAAGATGCTGAGTTGGTTTCCTTAAAAATTCTTACATTCTCACTGTTTTTAAATGCAACACTGTGTAGGGGAAAGGTAATAGGCACAAAAGGTCAGTGAACCTGGAGTCTTCCTGACTCTGCTAGAATCAACTGTGTGATGTTGGGCAAGCCATTACCTACCCCAACAAGGTGGCCATTTCCTCACCTCTACCATGAAAAGGGAGTTTCAAAATCCCATGAGTCTGTGTGACCTACAGCACTAGGGTTTCTTAAGGATAACCATCCATTTTTAATTTCTAAATCATTAGAAAAAAACCTTACTTGTGATACATTTATCTGTTCATTGAGAAAATACAGAAAGACATGAATTTTGTGGTCATTTAGTTGAATTTTGTTCTTATTATATTAAACATAAAGGCAAATCGCCATCATTATCACCACTATTTGCTGGGTAGTCTTCCAAGTGCTTCGTGATGGCATATGTGTTTAGCATTTTGGGGAAATGAAAGATGTCTGAAGAATTCATGCTCTGACAGAGAGTGGCGAGCAGTTTTTATGTTAACTTATGCAAATGAATTTGTGTAGCTGCAGATGCTCTTCTAATTTAGGCTGGGTGAGAGCTAGCCCTGAGATAAACTCTGAAAGTTTCCTGGCAGCTGGACTACACCTGAAATATTTCTGCAGGACTGGTGCCTGGGCTCGACTTCCCAGTGTCGGGTGTGGCGAGACAGGGAAGGTTACGCTGCTAGTCTGTAATTCCTTATCCAAGCCATTCTGGGACCAAATGTGTCTTGGAATCCAGAATTTTGGGAATTTTAGAAAGTGAATACAGTATATATGCTATATATTATCTAATACTCTCATCAGGGCTTAAAGCAATAGCCCCCAGTTAAATTCATTAATACTTTGTTTTTTGCTTCAAATTATATGACTAACCACACTAAATCATTAGTCACACAATTATAAATATCCCACAATAGTTCAGGCCACATTTGTCCCCAAATGATTTTACTGCAAGTTTGGTATCCCATTGAAGAAATGCTGCAAAATCTTATTTGACCTTTTAGAGTTCACTGTGGAATTCCAAAGACTTGCATTTCTCAAGTAAAGTTACGAGGGTAAAATTAAACTGTGCCCTGTACTTATATAACTGGGAGATATTTATTATCCATACACATATAATCACCCTCAGATTCCATCCCAACTCCCCTCCTGTCCGTAAACAATTTGTGGTCAAAAAAGTAAAATGAGAGTAGTTGCGTGGGTACAGGTACAGGATAGGCAGACAGTTGAATTTAAATTGAGTGGGCTAGTATACAAAGTATTTAACTAGGTGGCACATGTAAAATGGCAGAGAGCCTATCTGTGAGACCCTGATTAATAACTGTACCATTTAACTTAGAGTGGGTAAGGAGGCAAGGTGGGCACATGCAGGGGAATGGATAACAAACACCAAAATGGAAGGAAGAACTGAGAGTCTCGACAAGGTTGAGGAGTGGCAGTGTTAGAGAAAGGGAACAGGAGAGGTGGGAGAGGGTGGTCAGAGAGGGAGTCCTGGCAACTGCAATTTCAGATGTGCACAGCTATTGATGATGGTGAGGTCTCGGATCTGGCGGCTGGGGGGCAGGCAGTGGAGAGGCAGTTCAGTTGGAGCTGAGGGGCAGATCAAGGCATCAACAGGAAGAGTGCCGGATGGATCATCGGTGTGGACAATGAAGTCACCCAGAGAGGTGAGGGAGAGAGGGACAGAGGGGAAGGCAGTGAGCAAGGTACTAGACTCTAGAGTGAGGGTCAGGGACCAAGAAGTAAATGCAGGTGACAGCAACAAGGAGGGCTGTTGTGCTTATTCAACATGTGAGTCCATATTTACACAACTAGTATAGTGCCCAGCAGGCCTTAATAAGTATTTGGAAAACGTGGCATGAATGTATCTGTTGGATGGTGTGCACCTAGACTTGGGTCAATTCCAAGTTCTCTTTCATGAGCAAGGCACCAACCTGCTTCTGGGTGCTCCACAGCAGCTTCGGGGGTCCAGGGGCCTGCCTTCACATAGCCCCTCTTCTCCAGTGCGAAGACAAACCCTCCGTCTCCAATCACAACCTCTCCAGAGTTTAAACGTTCTAGGATGCCCTGAAATTACAGATGAGGGGGACAAGGGGAAGAAAAGGAGTTACTTGAATTGTGTAGACAATTTTCTATCCTTAGTACTTTTGCTATTATATTCTTGAGAAGTATGACTTCTTTAGAGTTCTCAGAAATTACATGTATATTTTATAATTCATGGTACTATCTGTAAGGCAAACAGCCTGCACGTTCATATAATGAAAATTTGTATATACATGTGCTGATCTTTTAGGACACATTACAGAGTTTTAAAGCATGTAGTGAAACAATGTGCTGTGTGAAGATATACCTGCAGAAGGATTAAATGAAAAGGTTGTATTTTTTTAAAGAATCTATTTATCTATTTTTTTTTTTTTTAGAGAGAGAGCAGGGAGGGAGAAAAAGAGGGAGAGAAACATTAATGTGTGAAAGAAACATTGACTGGTTGCCTCTCTCACGCCCCCGACTGGGACCTGGCCGACCACCCAGACATGTACTAGGAATCGAACCAGTGACCTTTCCGTTTGTAGGCCAATGCTCAATCCACTGAGCCACACCAGCCAGGGCTAAATGAAAAGGTCTTATTGTAAATCCTCAAATGAATACTTAGGCACACATTCAAAGAGATGATCAAAATTGATAAAGAAGTTGGAGTGGCATATAATACTGTGTAGGCATTTTGAAGACTGAAAAGTCAGAAGATTCTTGGTAAAAACAGGAGGAGGAAGATACTACCTCAAAGGTGGTCAAATCCCTGAAAGTCTTCTATCTTTTGTGTTCAAATTCAGTTTTTGTGACAGAAGCTATGTTATGCTGCCCAGGAGGTTATGAGTATGCATATTTACACTATACATGGGCGAGCTGACAAGAATAGGAAAGAGACAACTAAGTGAAGTACTTGTAAACCAGTTTCCAGCCCAGCCTCCACACCATCTGCATCATTCGCAGTACAAAACACTAGTTACCCTGGTGTCGATATTCAATAGATACATTTTGAACTCAGTATTTTTGAAGGGCTTTGTGAATTAGAAAGTAATTTTCTAATGTAACCATTTCTTTTTAATTTAAAAGAATCATAAAATTTAAGGATAAAAGATGACCTATATTCAATTTAGGTTATTCTCTCTAATTTTATAAGTGAAGCGTTAAGACCCAGAATCTAAACATTTACACTAAGTCTGCCAGGTGGGGAGTGTAGGGCCTCCAGATGCTTTGATTTGTAAGTGGTATCTAGATTTGATCGTACATGGGAGTGGAAGGTGGGGCAGACCTGAAAAGACCCTGTAATGGAGTAACTTGGAAAGTACTTGTGTTTTGTGCCCCATTTATAGCTGTAACAGTTGGTAAAGCAAATGCTGATGTATCAGTATCAAGAGTTACATCAATCCGTGAGAGCCATGTATAGAATTTTGTATCCACAGTCCTCCCTCATCTTCCCGGGGCCTCCTGTTCCCCTTCCCTGCCCTTTCCTGTGCCCTTTGGTCATCGAGTGCTCAGAGAGAAGATACAACTAACATTTCCACTTTAAAGAGGTAAAATAAGAGGATCACAGTATATGTGCCCAAAACTCCTTTCCAGACAGAAAAATTTTCAAGCATGAAAGTCCATGAGATAACAAACAATTACAACAATACAGAATTGATCACATGTAATTTTGAAATATATAAATATGTCATCATTCCAATGTGCCTAAATGCTACATCTTAGCACCACAACTTTGATTATGACCTAATTAGCAAGAAATTATATATATGTGTGTGTATAGATATATATATAGAGAGAATCAGTGTAGTTTATCAAAAACAAAAACAAGAATCAAATAAATGAGATATGACCTGCTGCTAACTTTCATTTGTCTGAAATAGTTCATGGTATTTTTGTTCAGTCACTTAACAACTTTCCTTGAACACATGTGTGTTTTCAAACCCTAATACCACACACATTTAAATACACAGCGTAGCTGAGAATCTGATATTTGCTGGTGGAATGGTTAGCAGTGATTCCATTACCATGTTGTTCATTTGTGGGTTGAACAATTACATCAGGAAGAACATCCTCTTATAGTCTAGTGCATTTGTAAATTACCTGGACTTCAGACTTTTTTGTTACTAAGCAAAACAGCTTTTTAAAAGGAGTGGAATGTGCTAAGAAAAAAATGCTCAAGATACCATTTTGTGAAAAAGTATTACAAAACAGTATGTGTAATATCAGACCATTTTTGTATAAAAAGTACATATTTGCTAGACAACAAACTAGCAGAATATACACTAAAATGTAGCAGATGGCATCCATAAGTCTTTTCCAAGCTGTGTACAGTGAACATGTGTTAGCTTTGTGACATATAATTTTAAACTCGAAAGTATAAACATATTATTGTCCATGTTTTAACACTGACACATGCATGGAAACAAAATTACTGAAGAAACATTTTTTTCCCCATTTTATGTCCATCTTTTGCTTATATAATCCTTTAAAATGTTTCATTTTCTGAGTTTGAGTTTGAGGAGTGATTTAGAATTCTTGGCTATGTGAATGGGGGTCAAATAAAATTTTTTTTTTTAATTTCTGTAGGAATTATTCTTTCCAGTTTACATCAACTATTTATTTAGAAGATTTATGGATTGGCAAAGAATGTCAACCTGACTGAACTGTCGATAGCCTATAATCATTTGCCACCTCAACATCTTCCTCAGACTGTTGACGTATGTCTATTAATGCTGCATGACATTTAAAATTTTTAACTGGATTAACTTTTTTCTTTGTGTTGAGGTATTTTTGATTTGGAAGGGATGGCTGGCAATGAGGATGAGAGGCAGACCTGCCCTCCTAGGGCCGAGGGGGTATATTTGGCCTGGCCAGGTCTGCCCCTCTGCCGTCCCCTGAGGGCCTCTGTCCACCAGGCCTCCCCGGCTAGGTGCTTTGACACCTAAGGGTCAAGCACATTCCCTCCTCCCTTTGTCGATCTCTTCCCATCCATCCAACCATAGTCGAAGTCAGTCCCCATCCCATCCATCCATTCCCCAAACTCCACCAAGGACGACAGTCTGGACTGGAACACTTGTCCCAAGAAGTGTATCTTTGGGAAGACACGCACTTGTTAAACGGGTGCTGGAGTAGACATTTTTTAATCTTATTAACAGCCTGTCCTCACTATCTTATGGCCTCTGTGCTCATTTTTGAGGCTAGCATGGTGCATTTTGTAGCCATCACTGAAACCAAACTATGGGCAAAAACATACCATTGCCCAACCAAGCTCCGGTGCGCAGTTGCGCGAAAATACAATCCAGCGCTGGGAGGCGCCTGGAGACCCAAGGCAGAGGCCAGGAAGCGCGTGCTGGAAACGGTCAGAGCTTGCGCCCGTGCCTCCCAGCGGGGCTGGTCCGGGAGGCAGAGAGGCTGCAGCGGGAGGCAGATACACAAGAACCCACGCCACCCTTGGCACCTGGAGGCACCCCCTTCTCCAGCTGCTGTGGGGGAGGGAAGTCCCGCCTGTGAGTCTAGGAGCTGCACTTCTGGAGGAGTGCTCTGACATAGGCGTGCAGGACTCGGAAAATGTGAGTCTCGGCGCCTTCCAGTCCAGAGGCACAGAGATCTCAGGACTGCTTTGGTCGAGGGCAGGAATGTGGGCTCAGAGGTGCCTTGGGGTGGTCCTGCCGGAGAAGTCACGGGAGCACCTTCTTGTTACAACCAGGCTCCAAGGGCGCCTCTGCACTCCCCGGTGTTCAGGGTTGGTGGGTCCGCAGCCAGATCCTTGGCCGGGATGGAGAGCGCCCTCAGGTTCCCCAAAGACTCACCTTCTTGGCCTTTTTGCCCCCAATGGGTGCCATCTTCGTAGTGTCTGAACTGGAACTCCTCACGGATGCGCACCTACGAGGCCTGCAAGTCCCCCCTGCAAAGTCCAGAGCTGTACCAGGGCGCAGCCGGGCTCTTTATACTCGCTGCCCGAATGTGGGGTGGTTTCCCTAGCCTCCCTGTGGTCCAACTGCCGGCCTTGGCCCTGGGCAGGGAACACGCCCACCAGCCTTTTATTGAAGCCTGCCTCTCCTTGGGAACCCGCCCTGCAGAGGAGGTGATCAGAAGGGAAGATTGAGATTGTTCGCTCAAATGGGTGAAAACAACGTGAAGTAAAATGAGAAAAAAAAATAATAATGAGTTTGCCACTCACTTGGTTTCTAACCTGGAAACCTGACTGCTCACAGTCCCTCTTTGCCCCTCCCGTGGCTGATTGTGATTTTACTTCTCCCTTGCCTGGGATCATGCACCATTACCTACGCAAGTCGCTTGTCAAGGTCCCTGCGAAATCCATGCATGCCCAAATATTTGTCAAAGGCTGTGGGACAAGATTATTGGATGAGGAGGCCATGCCCTGAAAGTCAGCCCCAAGTGCCATCTCTGTGATAAACATCCAGCAGTTATATAACATGACTGGAACTCAAACAGTGGCATTTACAGAAGGGATCCATACTAACCCTGCATTAGTGGGTATGTTTAAAATGACCTTCTCCCCTTAGAGCTGAACTTATAGCCTTGCAGTTCTAATAGGCATTTTTAATAAAAATATCTTTGCAATATTTAACCAGGGCAGACTTTTAACACTTATACATGACAGTAGAAATGTGCTTTAGAGACTTCAAAATTCACAGAAAATACTATGTATAAAAACGTAGACTGGAAGGAAATGGAAGCGTTAACAGTAGTTACCTGCTGATGTTTGAGTTGAGGCTTGCTTTTAATTTATTCATTATTTTACTGTATTTTGCAAAACATCTTTACAGTGAGAACACATTGGTTTTAAAATAATTAAAGCATTACTTTTTAAATGTACAACAATATAGTAAATAGCCTAGAGAACAGCCAAAAAGCCTGAAACAAAGCTCAGACTCTTTTACCCAAAGTAAAAGCACAGGAGGAAATTTGCACATGGAACAATAGTCTTCATTTCAACACATAGAAAGAAGAACATTACTGTAGCAAATGGTGAATTGATACACATTTAATTTTTTAAATGATGTGCACTTGATATGTAACTGAGAAAAGTTGTTTTGCTTCTGATAATTGTCAAGTTTAAAATGAAAAAATGGAAGGATGATGGATGAATATATGTATTTCAAATAACCTAATACTTCACCTGCCTAGGGAGAATGATGAACACGGTAATGCCATCCTTCACAGTAACTAGATTTTCCACTGTTCAAGCACCGGAGTCCCCAAGCAGGCGGAACCCAGCCGGGGCTGCAGGGAGCAGCTGCCGCGGTGGGTGCCAGGCTCTAGGGAGCGGCATCGGGGCTCTGACAGTGAAAGCTGAAAGCACACATTCTCAATTTCACACTTCCTCCAAACTCAGCAAACTTAGAAGAGATTTTAAACTAGCAGCATTTAATTTAAAAATAAATTGTGAATTTTTAATAGATAATGTAGACACACATGACACAATTTTTATGTCTTTTCCCAGCTGCTGTTCCCAGTATAAGTCCTTTCGGAAGGCAACCACTATTACCTGTGCACTATTCTTTCAGAGTAACTGTGTATGTCTAAGTGTGCACATGCATGAATAAGGATTTGTATTTAAATGTAAGGGATTTTAGTTATTTAAACACATGTGTACCTCCACATTTTCCAAGATGATTTTATAGGCAGCCATTGAAATATTTTTGTTTTTCCTCAGCCTCTCAGTTTATCCTACTTCCCCATACCCAACCCCCAGTGAAGGCCACTTAAAAAAATTCACCTACTGTTTCCATAATAGATAATAATATCCACAGCACTGAGTTCACAGTTCACTTACTATGTGCAAGGCACTACATTAAGCCTTTTACATACAGTATTATTTACCCCTAACAACTCTGGGAGGTAGGCACCCCCTCTTTGTACTCAGAGAGTTAAGAGAGTTAGCAGTGTGAGCTCCGAAGTTCCTCTGCCAGTTCCCGACGGACCAAGTCCACTTGGATACCACCAGGGAGTGAGCTCTGTCGCAGCTGTTCTTGGGAGGCTGCCGTGTTCTTTGTTCTCTTCCAGAGCAATGAGACGAGGAAGGTCATAACACTGAAGTCTTTGGCCTCCTACCAAAATGTTTGGGGTGAGAGATAAATCCTGAATGGACAGAGGAGGCTTAGAGCTTGAGATCAACCCCCTAAGTTTTATAACCTGAAAAGCAAGGGCTTTCGCTAGTGCTTTGCTTTACTTATAACCCCATTTATTCACTCAACAAACATTGAAGTACTGTTCAGACAATGTTTCAAACACCGTGCTCATAGCCCCTCCTTCTTTCCAAGGGGGAGATGTACACCATCTCATAAAAGAGTTAAAATGTCCTTCTTTTCAATATGTAGATGGGGAAAATATCAGGACTTTTCATTTTCCATTTAATTGGAAGTGTCTTTAAAAATGAATGTGTCTTTTCATAGATCTCTTTAGACTAAAAATGTTTCCTTTAACCTTTAAAAGCTGAAAAGGGTTTATGTTTTAGCACCATATAAAACGGCGTTTGCAAACTATTGACATGGAAATGGGGCCAGCCTCTGGTTTCCTTTGGCAAGACCAGTGCTTTTCAAAAAATTGCATGTGAATTCCTTTATGTAGAGCCGTCCAGTCTGCCAGCCTGACCTCATCCAGTTGTCCTACACTCTCCTGGTTCACATATTTACCTTAACTTAAAGGCATTTGATTTTTCAACTTCTGCAAATGTATTTGGGGGTTATCAAATACACGTGAGATATCCTTTGGTCTGAGTTCTACCAGATAGCCCCCAAACTGAAGGTTTTACTTTCCTTATATTTTCCTCTAGCCCTAACCCCAGTTGCCACTACCCAGGATCATCATAAATGGATGGCGAGGGTGGGCTTTTCATCTAACATCCTCTTCTCTGGGTGCACAGCCTCTTCTCACTTTATTCCTCTGTCCAGTGCAATGGCCACACTCAACATGCATCCCGACACACCAGGCATATCAAACCACCTCACACAATCACTCCCTTTTCAGTGCCTTGGTTTCTTCCTATTAAAACTCAAGTTGAAGCTAAGTAACTTTCCAGATTTCCCTCCCTCCCCTCCTTCCTTCCTTTTGCTGTTGGCTTTGCATAAAGTTGGCTTGACGTAAATTAGAGCATAATATAAATAGCCCTTTGCCAGGGCACTTTCTTTGCCTTCCCCTGTGGTGAGCAAGCACTTCCTTAGGCTGACTCGGAGGACACCTCTGTTGTGCTGCCAACTTCTGTCCATTCCTAATTCCTGGAGCAAAAAACTCCTTTTTGTTTGTTTGTTTGTTTGTTTGTTTCTGGGCTGTTCAGAGCTTCCTTCTGCCCCAGGTAAAATTGTTTCTCTCAAAGCTGGCAGATCTGCCAGCGTGTGCAGAGTCTCCTGGATTCCACCAGAGAGTCCTCCAGTCATTTTCCTGTGAGTTCTGGCGCCCCAGTTTCTTAACCTGTCCTCTTGGTGTGACGGCAGCACTGCAGGTTCTCTTCCCCACTCTGGAAGTTCCTCTCTTCTCTTCCTCCTTGCCTGTCCTGTTTTCTGTCCACACAAATAGCCTGTCATCTGCCACCATGTGTCCTTCTGCTTCTTTTCTTAGAAAAACCTCGTATAACTCTAACTTCAGAGCACTTACCACATGGAGCTAGCAGTGCTAACGGCTTCATAGACATTATGCAACCCTCACAAACAAGCCTAGCAGGTAGGAACTTTACCATCCCTCTTCACCGATGACCACACTGAGGAGCATGTTAAATGGGAACTTTCTCAAAGTCGTGTTGACAGGGAGCTGGGAGGGGGACTTCAGCCCAGGCAGAAAGAAGCCAGAAATCGTACTCTTTAGAGCTACTCTATACTTTTCTCTTCAGTAAACTGATTTTCTAAAAATTCTTCCCCAACTCTTTATAATTTCATCTAGCACAGCCCCTCCCACTCACCTGGCCCAACAGAGAGGTCCCTTCTCTTGGTCAGGGCGAGTTCAGATTCAGTGACAACCAGTTACAGACAGGAAACAGCCTGTCCTGCCATGGGCATCACCCGCAGATGCACCATGACTTTTGGACTGTGTGTGACCCCTGGCATGTCCAGTCACTCTGAAATGTCATCGTTTTAAATAGACATTGGAAAAGAAAAGCCATAATTTCCTGGGATTGCCAGTCAAAGCTTGGTCTTCCTCATCTTTGTGAGCTGTTGAAAGGAGAACTAAGGCATATATTGACTCTTTAACTGGAAAAAGGTGCAGTCAGGGGTAAAGACGCCCCTTTTCCCATGGGGCTACCACACGATACCCATGTAGTCTGTCAGCTCCGGCATGTAGCTCCTGATCTGGGAGTTATACCCCAGGAACAATCCATGTCCTGGCCTAGAATCTGCAGGGGAAAGCACACCAGGTCGACGGATGTGTGGTGTGAGAGGGGAAAAAGGGAGAGATAGATACGTGGGGGAAAGCTCAATGCTGGCTCACGGAAGGTCTGGCCACGGTGGGGTGAGATGTGTTGTTGAGCCCAGGCAAGGCTAGACCCGAGCAGCGGGCCAAGGAGCTTACATTTAATGGGAAACCCAGTACTTGGCAGGAACCAGAGTCCTCCTCCCCACCTTTTCTTCCTCCTGAAAAACTTGATATTTTCTCATTTTTGTTTCCTGTTGGTCTGTACATAACTGTTTTACCAGTCAGCTGCATCTGAAGAGGACTCCATTAAGGCTTTAGCTTGGTGATTATAGAAATCTTTGTTCATGTAAAGCACTTCTTTGGGGTAGGCTGGAATGACTTTAGTCTACGTAAAGATTATCACCAATACACAGCCCTCAGTTGGCTTACAAAAGTAATAACACATTTCTAAGTAGCAAAATCAGCATCACCCACCATCTTCTGAATCTCAGGAAAATAGGAATATATATATTCAAGTTCATACATGCATATAAGATTTTTAAAGAGTAAAAAAGGAGATACATTAAAAACAAGAAGTTCTCTCTAACTTCTACTT